AGATAGATAGATAGATAGATAGATAGATGATGGATGATAGACAGACAGACAGACAGACAGACAGATAGATAGATAGATAGATAGATAGATGATGATAGACAGACAGACAGACAGACAGACAGAGAGATAGATAGATAGATAGATAGATAGATAGATGATGATAGACAGACAGACAGACAGAGAGATAGATAGATAGATAGATAGATAGATAGATAGATAATACATACATACATAAATAAAGAAACTCTTTTTCACCAAAACATTTTATTATTATTATTATTATTATTATTATTACTTTAATCATCATCATCCTCATCATCATAAAATTTATTTTTTTATTTACTGTTTTTATATATTAGTATTTTAGCAGTTTTTTGTGACATATTATGCTATTAAAAATGTTCAATAAATAAACTCTTTTCAGAGGGCTTTTCACCAAAAGCTGGTCATCTGATATTCAGTTAGATGGAAAAACTGCTATAGTGACTGGAGCAAACACTGGGATTGGGAAAGAAACAGCCAAGGATCTGGCAAAGCGAGGTGGGTACTGCGGCCAAATCAATACTTACTGTGGAAATAACACATCGAGCCTTCTTTTCATAGAGCCACAGAAATAAAATATAGAAATGAAATATATTAGATCGGACTGCATAGCCATTTGAACTGATATAGGCTGGATATATCCAGACCAGAATATGTTTTTCCTGAAATTGCTCAGAAGAATGTACCAGTTTTTTAACTAATGGAAGAAAACTTGTCATTAATCCCGAGGCGCACGGGTGATCCTGGCCTGCAGAGACCTGCTGAAGGCAGAACAGGCAGCCAGAGACATCAGCAGAGACGTGGAGAATGCCAGTGTGGTGGTTCGGAAACTGGACCTGGCCGACACCAAATCCATCTGTGATTTTGCTGAACTGATTTACAACAGTGCGTTATGGTTGAAGAACTTTTTTCTCTATCATACATTTAATTCTGATCAATTTATTTTCCTTTTATTTTATTTCAGCTGAGAAGTCTCTTCATTTGCTGATTAACAATGCTGGTGTGGCAATCTGCCCATATTCAACAACAGCAGACGGTTTTGAAACACAGTTTGGAGTCAATCATTTAGGTTTGATGAAGTGCACTAGTCATTCTCATTCTTTCAAAGAATATCAAAGAGTCCTTATTTGTTGTTTAGAAGTAATGGAGATTGTTCACACTTGACGTGTGATGAATGACTCCTTTTCTTCCTCAGGACATTTCTTTCTTACGTTCCTCCTTATGGATCTCTTTAAGCATTCAGCTCCTTCCAGAGTGATTAATGTCTCCTCATTGGCCCATCCCATGGGAAAATCCACTTTGAGGACCTGAACAGTGAGAAAAGCTATCATCCCGTGAAGGCCTACGTACAGAGCAAACTGGCCAACATACTTTTCACGCGAGAGCTCGCTACGAGAGTGGAAGGTAAGAGCAAGTATGTCGTCATGCATAAAACATACAAAATGTGATCCAAAAATCTGATTCCACATTGAATCTGGGATTTATTTCTAACATTTTAGCACCCATAGATTTTTTTCGTCTGTGAAAAACAACCAGAGTGTCCAAGCTGTCAATGGCTCTCATTAATTTTCAGTGTATGAAAAACGACACAAGTGTGAATAAATGGCTAAATGGTGACTAAGTTTTCAATTTTGGGTGAACTATCCCTTTAAGGATATGAAAATATGTTTGAAAGGTAACAGTCTGTTTAGACTGTTTAAACCGTATAATGCACGGCTAATTCATCAGTATGATATCCTAACATGACTGTCTCATGTTTTAGCCACGAGCATTCTTCATTAAGGCAATTTGAGCATTCTTGCACTTTGTGAAAATAAAGCAAGCGTTTCACTCCTCTAACTGTAGCTCATGTAGTGTGACATTCAGTTCTGTTTCTGTGGCAGAGATGGGAGTGAGTGTTTATGCTGTGGATCCAGGCCTAGTAAAGACAGACATCATCAGGCATTTGAAGAAGTCTCTGCAGTTTTTTGTGAAGACATGTGGTTTCCTGATAAAAACCCCTGCAGAGGGCGCATATACCACCCTATACTGTACCCTCACCCCTGACCTGCCCACTGGAACCTACTACAGGTTTGTTACAACTACCATAGCTGATGCTAGTCGTGCTCATGAAACAACAACCTCAATGACCATCTTTCCCATAAGCAGCATGGTTCACATGATTTTTATTTTGCACTAGTGATGCTTAAGTTGGCAGCAAGCAAAATAACTGCTGTGATGTTTAATAAATATTTCCACTCATGATCTCTCACAGTAACTGTGCCATGGCTCCATACTCCAGGGCCGCCAATGATGACAACACTGCTATCAGACTGTGGGCTGTCAGCTGCCACCTGCTGGGGATTCGCTGGAAATGAGAGGATACGACTCCCACCACAACCTTTATTCCTAATATTGGCCTTTTATGATTTATTATAACCATTTATTTCAACAGCAGTCCGGTCCTCTCTGTCTTCCTGTGTTATAATAATTTAATTTGCATTGATTCAGAGATACAAGTTTGAAGGCTTCTTGCCTTACTATGATTATTAAGACATACTTCATAACTTTCTTATTATGAACAGCTATAGTAATGGCTAAATATCTACTTTCTTGAAAAAAAGGTCAAATAAGTTTATTGTCATTTGAAAATGAAATACGATCAGCCACTGTAAGTAGGCTATGTAACCTACAAGACAAATTCACACGAATGTAGCAGAGTGAGCTATAGACCCAGTATGATTGGCTGGCGTTACCCAAACAGGTGAACCTATCACGGTTTGTACTTTATCGTGATTGGTCAGTTGGGTAAGTTTCATTAGCCAATTAGTGCCTGTTGTGCATATAAAAGGGGGAAGTGTTTGGTTGCTTGGGATGCATGATCCTTGATACCGCCCCTTTGTGACATGTGGCGCTTTGAATGAGTGCTAGCAGTTGGGTTATCCTTCTGTCTGTCGTGTGCTGGCTGTTGGCCAGTTTTCAGGTTTGTCCCGTTTTTAAAAATGCCTTTTTGCATGTTAAATAGAGGCTTATTACCTTTTGTTTGTTTTCAGATATGGGCCTTCAAGTAGCTGTAATCCTGCGTGGTGAGCGACCATGTGTATTGCAGCATTGTATTGTTTTCTTGGATTGATTGCACGTACAGGGGTTTCTAATGATCTTAATTGAAGCGTAATGAACCTCAAGTAACTGACTGCACTTCTGCTCTGCTCTACTCCGTTTTGTTCTGTCTGGAATTCATCTGGGTCCGTCTGTTATATTTTGTTTTGTATTGTTTGGTGTGTGGATTTAGGTGGGAGGGGTTTGCCATGGTACCTTGTACTGCGTGTCCACATGGTGTGCTGTGTTTAATATTTTTGATTTTTCACGAGTGTGTGTCATGGGTATTGAGTGTGGGGTAGAAATCTGAGGGTCTTTGCTGGCCACCTCCCCCTTTATTTTCTCTTATTGTACTTTAGTTTATTAATAATATTATTATTATTATGCTCACCCTGCCTTTGGCAACGAACCTGTGTCCCTTTGTTTAGGGCTGTTATGTCCTGGTGTATTCCGGGTGGCGTAGTCGACTATAGGATTTCTCTTATTATTGGTAATTTTCTAAGCAACTGACCACTTACTGCCACACTAAGCTGGTGTAGACAGTACTAGAAATAAATATGAAAGCGTAATAATACACTAAAATATAATGAGATAGAAATGTCTTGGATGGAGTCAAGGGGTTGGTAAATGATTCTGTTAGTAAGGCTAGAGTAGCTTACGGATAGTTAGTGTAGGTTCAAAAGAGAACAGATAGGGGAAAAAAAAAAAAAGAGGTTAAAAATGTGCTTGTTTGTTCACTTAACGATTTTCATTGAATAAAGTATGTCAAATTAAACGACATTACATCTCTGAAGTAAGACTTATTGTTCTTTGTGTTCGTGAAGAAACTTCAGACTGACACACCGAGGACATCTAGTGGGCACGCACGGTCACTGCTTTTGCACAATTTGGCTCGTTTTTAAGTGGGGTGACGTGATTTTATTGTGTGTTCTGGTGACGTGGAACGGGATGTCCAACCTTGCAAAAGAGATTCAATTGAATAAAGCTTCCTTGGAGTTCAAGGCCATCACAGCCAGCCCATAAGTGCGAGCGGTGGGGTGCATGAGCGCATCACGTTGTTCATATTGAACTCAGACGCGTTTCATTGGTCAGAGGACAGAGCTCTGGACGGGAGGGGCTCGGATCCGGACCGCATAGTAATATCTCATTCATAAATTACACAGGACGCTAGAGTAGTGCACTACTGTCTGCTGAGGGAAACCGGACAGTTTTGGAACAATGCACTCAATAAGGTAAGCAATGCTGGTGTCATGAATGAGTCTACTGCAACTGACTTTTCTTTTCTTTTCATCAGTCTTTTTTTTTTTTTATCAAACATTGTTCAACATTGTTTTAAAAAATATGCTAAAATATCAATCTCAAATGCCAATTAATATACTAAGTTTCTTTAAACAATTTGCCATATACTATCGAATTTTGGATTATACAGACTGATCTAATTTAAATATGGGAGAATGGGGCTAATTGTCACACGGGGAAGTAGTCACGAGGGCTGTATCTCAGTCAGCAGCTATGAGGTTTTGAGTCATAAATCCAATTACGTAAATGTGTTTTGACAATGAGTTTGTATGTTGGTTTCCAACAACTTCCAAAACCCTCTTAAATTTAATTCAATTTTAGATGTATAAAATGTATTAAGTATACAATATTTAATGGTCAAAACAATGGTATTTTTGAAAGTTACTTTTTATATTTATGCTGTTTTGTGAATTGCTGAGTTTCATAATTATTTTACTATAATAAAAGCTTTTAATAAGTTCGGGTGTGTTCACGGTGTGTGTGTGTGTTCACTGCTGTGTGTGTGCACTTAGGATGGGTTAAATGCAGAGCACTAATTCCAAGTATGGGTCACCAAATGTACAATAAAATGTACAATAAAATAGTGTGACAGCATGCCTCACAATTGGGTTTACTTAACTGCATCTTCATTCCTGAGCAACAACAATGAAAATGTACAGTACTTTTTGTAGACTGTATGTAAAGCAACTGCATGTAGTTTTGTGTATCTTTGTGACCTTTCAGCCCCCTACAGTTAAGTGAGTGAAATTCACTGTTGTAATTACAGTGTATAGATGTACATGTGCATTATAGCTGCAGTATAGCAATATGTCCTTTCCCCCCCTCATCAAACTTACATATTCAGAACACACGTTTGGGGGGAGCGTGGGAAAGAGAAGCATTCACCTTATTAGAAGTCAGGGTACCAACAGAATGATTTTGAAACTGATATTTCAAGGTAAAAAACGCACATACTGTTGCTTTAAAGCTTGAGGAATGGTCATGGACAGTGAGGGAGATTTACGTGATGAAGAAGATAATACACAGTTTAAGACTCCAAATGAGTCAGTTTACTGAAAAATGGAAACCTTTAATGAAGGGACTGTTGGGGCAATATGTTTTTGAACATATACTGTACATTTGACTTCAAATAGACTGGCTGGTTAATACTTTGTCTTCCTTTGTGTAAAGGATCCCATCCAACGCTGTTGCTCTTTATATTTGCTTTTGTTGTTGTTATTGTTGTTTTGGCTTTTCTCTTCTTGTGCTAGAAAGTAGAAAATAAGTTGAAAAACTTTCAGAATTGTGGGAATTACAAGAAAAAATGTCCTGAGTTAACTCGCAATTCTGAAGGAAATAAAGAAAGAAAGAACTTCAGAAATGCTAGGAAAAAATGCAAGATAAGTCACAATTACCTTTTTTCTATCTCGCGTCGGAAACATGCTTCCATATGTGACAACTAGCCCCGCTCTCCCAGTACTAATTCACAATCCACCAAAAGTGTATTCATTACATTGTATAAACATTTGCTCTGTAATCAATTCCAGAGATTTCTTCTGTGGTCAGTGGAGCTCTTCTGTACGTCTTGATGACAAAACAGTCATAATCACAGGAGCTAATACAGGCATTGGGAAAGAGACCGTGAGAGACCTTGCAAAAAGAGGTAAGGAACTAACAAACCTCATAAGTTTTCAGGAAGCTAACAAGCCATGTGTGATGCCACTCTAATTAGAAGAGGGCATAGAGAGGTTAGCTGGAATAATTGCAATCTATCACATCATATTGGCACTATTGTTGCAGTTGATAGCTTTATTTTGGATGCATATTCATTGTAGTTTGTTCTTTTTAGTATAGCATAAAATCACCATAATCTGGGATGAAAATAACAAATGCAACTCATTGTAATGTCAAATGTGATACAATCTAAACAACAAATAATTCATCTTATAAAACCGACAGGCTCTTGGAAGCTTTGAATGCATGCTGATAAATAAACGACAGGATTACAATACTATCTTCCAAAGAGATGTAAAACTGTCCACTTTCCCACATGGGCCCGCTGAATTCCAACAAAGAAACTGACACTTGCCAGCCAAATTGCTCTGAATAGTATAATAGACGTTCTGCACAGTAATTACCAGGCAAACAGCTATTGTGTTAGCTCATCAGCCTTACATCCCAGTTTAGCACCAAATGAATTATTATGCAAGGACATTTCACAGCAAGGACATTTGCTGGAGTATGTAAACACAGTTATTTCAGATCCATGAAGGATATCTGCTCTGTTTTGTGTGAAATCTTCCATGACTGTTTGCACTGGAAAGCACATTAATATCAGCTTCTCTGTGTGATGTCCTCAGGGGCTCGAGTCATCATGGCCTGTCGAGACCTGGAAAAAGCAGAGGCAGCCAGAAAAGAATTAATGGAGGATTCTGGAAACCAAAACATTGTGGCGAATAAACTTGATTTATCAGATACCAAATCCATCAGAGCATTTGCAGAGCTCATAAACAAGGGTGTGTAAGACATTTGATTTTTTTATTTAAACATTAACATTAAAAATAATATATCTACTATACATATACACTTTGGAAATACAAGTATTAATTAGGGCTGCACGATAAATCGCATGCGATATTTAACGCGCATCTTGTCAGTAAAGCCATTCTGTAATCAGCGGTAAATCTCCATCACGTGCGTG